TAGCAGAGGTGCTGACTGATGTGACATACATTCACTGTTGTGGTTTTAACTTGATAGTGTGCTGTTACATGTCTTGGCAAAGACTGGTCCCTGTTCCCAGGGGAACTAAGGGCCAATGGTACTGCAAAGTCCATTGTGAGATCATCCTAGGAATCAACTTTTCATGGGAAGAATGATGTTTATTAAGGCATCATAGCATAAAATCATCTCTATAAATGCTGCTTCTTACATGAGCTGCTTCCTAACAGTTGAGTGAGTAGATACATCCTTGGAAATTCGCAACTCCAACCACAAAGCTAAAATCAGGGAGGGAGTTGTGGTATTTTATTACCCCTATTATCTTCCAGTGTGCCTGAGCCATGAGTAGTGGCTTCAAGGATCATTGGAGTGATGTGTGTTGCATAGAATTGTGTTGTACAAAACAGCAGTGTAGCTAGGTCTTGGTAGCATGCACGTTAAAACTGCATTAACTCTGATGGTGACAGGAGTATAATGAACCATAGAATACAGTCATGGAATGGCTTGGGTTGGAAGGGACCTTAAAGGTCACCCAGTTCCAACCACAATCCCAGTGGCAGGGAGACCTTTCACTAAACCAGAGCTCAGAACTCCATACAGCCTGGCCTTGAGCACTTCCAGGGATGAGGCATCCACAGCTTCTCTGGGAAACCTGCTCCTGTGCCTCACCACCCTCGCAGTAAAGAATTTCTTCCTAATGTCTAATTTAATCCTACTGTCTTTCAGTTTGAAGCCATTGTCCCTTGTCCTGTCACTGCATGCTCTATGTAAATATTTTCACTCCAGCTTGCTTGTAGGCTCCCTTCAGGTACTGGAAAAATGAAATGAAGTCACCCTGAAGCCTTCCCTTTTGCAGGCTGCACAATCCAAATTTTCTTAGCTTATCCTTTCATGAAAGGCTGTATATAATAATCATGAATGTCCTTCACCTGTTCAAAAATAGCAGCATACCCTTCTTAACCTAGGGAAATGAAATTTCTTTTGGCCCCACCAGGGTAAAGTACAGTGCAGACATACACCGTTCAAGAGATAGCACAGTTCTCCTTGGGATGTGCAGTAAGTGAAGTGTTACTTCAGAAGAAGAAGAAGAAAGTTTACTGTTTCTGCCTGTCCCCATATTATATGTTGAGGATAATTTCCCAACCAAAATTGGAGGCATTTTGGTTGTATTATAGCTCAACAGTTTGAAATACAAGTGTTTTTCTTACATATCACAACTTTTTTTTAGAGAGCTGCTGGAGTATTTTTTGTACACAAAAGGGATTTTTCTTGAGCCTAGGTGATGCAGAATTGACAAGTTTTTAGCTAAATACCAAATACAAGAGAAATTCATATCTGTGGTGGATAGCCATCTTCCCCAAAGCAGACTACAGATTTTTTTCTGGCTCCAACTTGTCTTCTTAAGAAAAATTGTCTAAAAATGAAATCAAGGGAAGATTCTTGGCAGCACACTGGAAGGTGGAGAAGGTCTCTGGAGTCTTCTTAAAAGCTTAAACCAACTATGAATCTGCGCTTGACAGTAGCTAATGACTACTGATAGCATGTGATTTTCACTCCATCCCATTACATTTTGCCTAAAATTTTCAAATTATAGGTGTAAAACAGAGAGCAGATTTTATGAAAACCAGAGGCTGTAGTAGGTGACTGAGTGTAATTACCATACTTGTTCTACCTAATTCAGTGACCGCATTTCACATGGATGAAACCACACTCCAAAGTGCTTCAAGAAATTACCCTTCATTTTGAGCACAGAGGCCATTCAGAAAAGGGCAGCTCTCATTTCTTGTCAGCACAGGTGATAGTCTCATCTTGCCTCCTGGAAATGATTTTACATTACTAGAATATCATAGCTAGCTGCAGGGCTGGCTGATTTGTAGGTGTAATGTGGCTTAGTGCACTCAGACAATTAAATGTAACTTTCTGATGAGTAGATGGTCTAGCAAATAAACAAGATTGGAAATGGTCTACGTAAAAGTTTGTTCACATTGATCAAAAGGTCAGGAAAGGGGGAGTTTGAAAGGATGTGAGCTCAGCTGCCTCTGATACACAAAAAAATTTCATCTGATGGGTTCTAATTGTCTTAATTAGAAAATAAATAGACAGGAAATAGGATTTTTGAATGTAAACAACTATTCACAGTGAACACTGGATGAGAAGTTTACTTGCTAATAAGATACATCACAGAATGATACAGCAACAAGGTTCCTAGGGTGGAATTTTTATTGAAAAACTGTTTTGTGCTGCCAGGAATTGACCTGAAAGTCACCATATTTTCATGGTTTTCCTCACCTACATCAGAGAGCTGCATATGCTTGGAACCTGCTTCATAACACACAGAAGACTGGCTTTTGCCTGTTAGCCTAACTGAGTTGACTTACAGAACTTTCCACCTGCAGCACTTTGCAGTTTGTACTGGTTGAAAATAGTAATTCACCATATAAAATTGCATCTTGAAGTACTGCAGAAATTATCCAGTGAATAGACTGAGTTCCTAGTCATTATCCCACTTTAAAGTGTAGAAATGTGTAATGGTCACTTTTCCTTGCCATCGCTGCATGTATGGTGGAAGCAAGTAATGACAAAAGAGCCTCCTCCTGTGCAGCAGAGAACAGCAGGACTGAAAAGGACTTAAAGACATACATCTATTAAGTTTCAGAGTTGAGAGAATTTCCCTATTTGCTGTGAGAGAAGGAATTTGATTCTCATACTAAAAAAAAAAAAAAAAAAAAAAAAAAAAAGCATTTTTTCCCCCAGAAAAGTATCAATCAGCCTGCTTTTTTTGAGCAAAAAGTTGAGATTCAGAAAGTTTAGAGATGTAAAGATGGTATCTACCAAAAGCTGAATGCAGTTTTAAACGGGCTGCACTCTTAATGTTTGTGCAAACTCTCATGCATCTGAAAAAGGTGTTGTGATTTAAGATGTTGTGACTTAGATGGCAGAGCCATCTAAGTGGCCCATTCCCACAGTTTGTTAGGCTCTGCCCTTCATTACAGAAATCTTCACCAAAAATTCTTAATCCTGGCATCTTTCCCAGCAGAGTCAATCATGTGGGGATCTGGGTGATCAGTAATGACAAAACCAGCCTTGGTATGAGTATTTCATTTGATAAATTGCAGACGTTGAAGCTTTACTTACATTTGTCAACAGTGACTTTCCCGTGAAGTGCCAGGTATTTGAAAAATTACTTCTAATGTTTCAGGCTGGGGGAAGAAGTAGTTTTTCAAACTATGAGAACATTTCCCTCATGCACCATTAAACCAACCAGGGAGAAACAAAAGCAGGGCAGGGGTGTGAATATGCTTGTCTCAAAATATAGGGTTGAATAGCCACATGCCAGAATATTAAAGTTTTATTGCTGTGAACCATGCCTCATAGTGATTAAGTGATTTTGTTAATGATACAGTGAGCCACAGAAGAGTAGGGGCTTCTTTAAAACTGTCCTTTCTTTGCTGTGCTTGGGACTATCCTTTTTGTCATCTGGTTCTTCAGCTGCTTGTCTTCTGCAGTGGATCCTGTTTGTTTACTCTCAATGTAATGTGCATACAGAACTGGCTGCTGGTCCCCATTCTCACTCTCTCCTCTGCACTCCCTGTCTCTTCTGCAGACACAGATGCCATCTACATGGTGGTTTACTCAGCTCTGTCTTGCATCTGCAGTGTTCCTTCTATCCAGTCTAAAACTCAGTCTGGGCGTCCAACATGTTGCAGTTGGGTGCCTTGGAGTAAACACAGCTTTTTATCATTCTCAAGGTCTTCTCTTCTGCCCCCTTCTTTGCGAGGACATTTGCTCAAGCTGTTGCTGCTGCCCAAAGGCTAAATGCAGTTGGCTAAATATGCAATTTCAGAATAGGCATTTCCAGAAGGTGTTTTTTCCATCTGTTTCTAGCATTGTCTTTTGATTGTTACAATTAAAAGATGTGAATGTCATCCCAAAAACCTTAGTTAATGTGGATGGAGAATGAAGTGAAATATGGTATGTGTGATCTCTGCTGTCTCTTCGGTCAGGAGACTAGGCAAAATGTCTTTGCTGCTAGATGATGCTGGTTTTCTATGAATACTGAATGTAAACTGGAAGAAGTAATGTGGAATTTAAGTGGCAAAGTTAGATATCAAGAGTTTGAATGTCATCTGTGCTGGTTTGCTGTTTGTTTAAAGGCTCAATTCATGGAAGTGGGACACTGCTAAGCAGGAATTTTTTTTTTAAAATTAATTTACAAGGTTTTATCTCTGTAGCAGTTTCATTAAAAATGCAAAGCTTAGAGTAGAAACAAAACAAAAATTGTCACTGAATTGCTGCTCACAATAGACCTTTCTCTGGAAGGTGACTAGATTCAGATATGGACTGGGGAGCCAGTAGAATGTGCCCCTGGACAGGATGAGCCTCTCAGCAGCAACTCCAGGTTTTAACTCCTCTACTCTTCTCAGCATCTTCTCTGCACCTCTCTGACTATGCAAATTGCCCCCTGGATTTTGGCCCTGAACCATGTTTCAGAGATACCCAGCTTCCCACATCAGGACAAGCCCATTTGCTCTGTGTCTTGTCTTGTTATAATGCCAGGAATTTCCCTGGATTTCCTGGATTTGTGCTGTTACTGCTGTGTGCTTCAGGTAGGGCATAAGGTAAAAAAGTTAATGTGTGTATTCCATAGCTTATTTTTGAGAATGACAAAACGACTTCAACAAGTTTTGAGATCTTGCACAGTGACAGACTGTGCTGGTTCCTTACATTTACTCTAGATGATGTACCAGTTCAAAAACTTGTTTTGATTCCACTTCCTAATGGAAAAAATCCCTGTTCTCCATCTGCACCCAGAGATACAAATTTTTTCAGGTAAGGTCAACAAGACACACAAAGAGAACTGTTGACTAGAGGAATGGAGGACAACCGGTCAGAATTTTTTTTTTAAAAAAATGAAAAATTACTCATCTGAGGGAAGAGTACCATACACTGGGTTACAAGAAAACCTTTTTTTCTAACTCCAGGTCCTTCTTCAGTCATCAGCAATGACGACGATTCAGCCAGTCCCCTCCACCACATTTCAAACGGCAGTAACACTCCATCTTCTTCTGAGGGGGGTCCTGATGCAGTCATCATTGGGATGACGAAGATTCCTGTCATCGAAAATCCACAGTATTTTGGAATTACCAACAGTCAACTCAAGCCAGACACCTGTAAGTACAAGCTGTATGTGTTTCAGTCATTCATTTTACCTGTGCAAGTGTTGTGGCTCCTTAACAGAACTACAAAATACTCTAACAAAAATAACAAAATACTCTAAATTCCTGGGAGTGGAATAATGAGGTTAAAATGTGTGCTATTTACTAACATATGTAAAAAATATATGGGATGAACTGCTTTACCTCTGTCTAAGCCAAATTCAGCCCTTGTGACAAGGCAATGAAGCGAGCAGTGTTATGCTCAAAGCCTGATCCATATTTCAACAAAGTCATTGGTAGCCTTTCCATTGATTTCAGTGGTCTTTGGCCAGTCCTGTGCACTGAATGTATTACTGGGAGAAAACAAATCTTGGATCAGAAAAAAAAAAAAGTATTGTTACATATGCACTATTTATAAATTGATCATATCAACATCACCAGATCATATCATCAAATCATATTAACATAATCTAATCTGAGTTTTCAAATTTCAAATTTCAAATCTGAGTATTTGTAAAGTTGTAAAAATGATAAGGGTTAAAACTTCAATTCTTGTAATTTCTTTGTACAATTCATCCTCCACAGACAGAAATTGTTTTGAAAGTTTAAAAGGAGAGCAGAAGTGAAGGTTACATGATGGACAGTACATGTCACATACAAAGTCTTTCACGTTCAGTTAGTAGCAGGTGGAATGTGAAAAAATATGAAGAGCTAAACATATTGAACTATGAAGAGTTAAAAAAGAGTATCACCTACTTCAAATACTTTTCAAACCTAGTAATAGTTTCAGAACTGAGCATGTGAAATGCTGGGCTTTGAACCAGTGATTAGCATTAATGTACATAACTGAAAAAATACCAAAAGGAAATTGTGGTAAATAGTAACTGCACTCCTTACTATTTTTCATCAGGACACTGAGTTCTCTAAGTGTTTCAGAGAAAGTTATTCTGAAGTGTCACTGGGAAGTCTCAAATGTTTCTCTGGGAAGTCACTCTAGAGATTCCCTGGAGTCAATCTAGAGATTAGCGAGCACTGGTCTTGCAACTAAGGGGCACTACATCCTGGCTGTATCCTACCCTGAAAGATAACACTTTCTAGAACAAACTGTAGTGTAGGGGCTTACTGTCAAGTTTGGAAGCCTTTGCTTCCAACTTTGCAAAGCTTAAATGCTGTAACAGAAATTCTTTTTGACCTGTGCATGACCGCATGCATGCATGACACGAATGCATAACTTCTAACACTGCAAACAAAGACTGATGCTAAACTACCCACTTATCTTGTGAATATTAATGCTTATCTAGATCCAGACTGTGGCACTAAGCACAGTCCAGAAGGATGGTCCTAAAAAAACGGTCTTTTTCTGCCTTTGTATTGTATATCCCTGATGTTCACTATTACTACAGCTTTTTTGTGTGAAGCTATTTTGTGGCTTGAAATGCTGTATCACCTCTTCTACCACCAGATAATTGCAATCTGAATATTCTGACCTAGAATATGCAGTGTGATCACAGGAAATCACTGAATTGGTGATAATTGATCAGCATGAGAAAAATGTTATACAGATGCCTTTTGATTAGACCATTAATTCTTGTGAAAAACAGAAGCTGCTAAAGAATCATAAATGAGCAACTTCCCCGTAGTGCTTCCTATTGTTATATAAAAGTCTGTGCTTTTAAAGATGAGGCTACTGTACCTCTGTTCCCAGCTGCAACTGGGATGGCAACTTTTTAATTCTTTAAATAAGCATCAGTAACTGCAGAGTTTTTAACTTCAGCATTAATGTTGAAACAACATACATGCTGTTCTGGGGAAAAACAAAAACTGCACTAAAATACAGAATTCTCTCACATTTAGAAAACTGCACATTAAGTACAGATATACTAAATCACGGCTGACTTGTGTTAAGTAGGTCCTGATCCTAAAAATACGTGAGTCTGTATTTGGTTTTGCGTGCTGCAATGAAGCCCACATGGTGTCTCGGAAATTAATCACAGTACATGAAGTTGAGCTGGTGTATAAATACTTGCAGGATATGCTTCAGGACTTTGCTGTGGTGCTCTGGGGAGGTTTGAGGTGCTAAGCCTCTGCATTCTGACACATTGCTACTGTGGTCCTAGTCTTTGTGTTTTGGGGAGGGGGGGGGTTGGGTAGTGTTGGTGGTAGTTGTTTTGCTTTAGCAGAGAGAATCAGGTAAATTATGGCAGTGTATAAACCAAGGCAGATTTCTTCTACCACTCTGAGCATCTATCAATAAAAAGGTGTAATTGAAATTGTCTTGGACAAAAGTGGGCTCCCCAGATATACTTTCGAATATGCACTCTTTCCTTCTCTCTCAGTTGTTTATTGTTACGGAGCTATGCTTGTCCTTTCTTAACCCACCAACCTCCTCCCGATGTGTATATCTGGTATTTATAAACCTCTAAGTAGCTTTTGTAACTTGTTCCTGTATGGAATAATGCCAGCTTCAGATGTCATCTGGTTTTGGTATTCAGCAAGATAGTTAACAGTTATGTTTATTTCCTATCTGATCTGAGTTCCATTGTTTACCACCATTAAGCCAAACAATCACTGACAGTCATGCTGGAAAAGGTCCTTCTGTATTTAGCATTTGTTGGTCTGTGTAAGAAGGTGAGACATCAAGCTAGGTGCAACTGTACACAGATTGTATTGCAGTTTTCACAGAAATGAAGGAATATTTTTGCTGTTAGTAGCAAGTGGAGTTTCTTCTCTATTACCTAATTAGGCCGTATTTTGACTTATCTACAGAGAACCATTTCTGAATACAGTGTATCAAGCTTCATTGCCAAGAATTAGAAGTGCATGTGTTTAAAATAAAATTTAAAAGCTGATTAAAATCAGTGTCATTTGAAATTCCATCACTCTATCTTGTAATTTGGTCCTTTCACTACTGAATTACTAAATCCAAAGAGTGATGACTTCAAAAGAGTCTGTCTCAGGCTAAAAGTTACAGCACTTTTCTCCTCTTAAGATATAGCCTTCGGGGTGGAAAAAGCAAAGTAGTGAAAACCAAAGACCCATCAGCTTCAGTGGTCATGTTCCAGTCGTCACTTTAGAGGACTGCATTTCTGTCATTTCAGCACAGCATTTGTCTCTACCTTTAACTGACATAACAGTAGAAGATTACATCTTCCAATTGGGATTGGCTGATATTTACTGCTTAACTACCAGTATTTCTCATCAGCTCGTTCAGCATATGTCTGTCTCACATGCTATGCCAGAGCTCCTGGCTTTTCCTTTCCATGGCATGTTCTGTTGGTTGCTGCTGCCTGGTTCATCTGCCACTCCAACATCTTGATTATTTTCACCTTGGAATGATACAGTCTGAGGTGCACAGACCATGTTTCAGACACCTACCAGACTTCTTGGTTCTTTTTTGTACGAATGCAGAAGGTATTTCTCATTTGTCAGTTCTTGTCAGACCGTGAAAATTCTGATTTTAGATGGGTGAGAGAGTTCCAGAAGCCTGGGCCTGCTGCAGTGCTCTTTGTGGTTAAGGTGTTATAAACCAGGTTCTGTGTTAGTGTCTACCTGAAAACCTCTTGCCTGGGAATTACCAACACGGTTCAGCTGTTGCTGTTGAAAATTGAAGGACAATTTTGTAGGGGAGTAACATCACCAAGTCCATAAACCTTGCACGGATGGCAAATCTTGCGAGATTTTTGTTCCCCTGAAATCAGATGCACAATGTAATATCTTGGGCGCATTGAGCCTAACCTTTACTACATGGTTAGCTTCACTGATCTTATGAGCTGTCACAGACCCTAAGCTATTTCAGATTTTCATTAATAACATGGTATTTCAAAAATTAGTCCTCTACATGTCTGCACATAAACTGTAGCTCCTGAAGTTATCAGCCAAGCCTACCAGACCTGTTGAAAGAGGATGGAAGAAACAAATCCATTTTCTCAAGGAACAACTGTGGACTTTCTTCATCACTTAACTTGCAGCCCAGCACTTGGAATGTATCATGACTGCTAGATTTCCATGATTAATGGTGGAAAATGCAGTCTGTAATGGCTGTGTTGGTAGAAATGTGAAAAGCCATACCTCAGGAGAGGTCACAAAACGTCAGTGGAAGTGCCCAGGCTGAGATTCTTAGGGCAGAACTTGGATAAGCAATTTCTTGCAGGTGGTTTTGGGATTTTGAGAATCAAATTGTTCTCTGAGCCTTCCACCCCTGCCCAACAAAGTTTCTGTGGTTGTTTGGGTGCTACTAAAAGGAAGGTTACAGCTTTTCCCTTTAATGAAGAGGTTTCAGGCCCCCTACAGTGGAGAAATAGCTGTACTGACATCAGTTTGCACTTCCCAGCTAAATCTGTACTTGCAACTCACTCAATTTTGTCAATTTCATTGATTTCAGTGTTGGAAAAGAGCGTGCTGTACTGGGCAGGCTTATTGATTTGTCAGTGGATGGTTTAGTGGCAAGATGTTTTCAGTGACTGGCCTTATAAATAGCCATTGCATTTCAGATAATGTGGTCTTGATTATGATTTTCATATGGAAAATTTGGGTATGTTCTTGAGATAGTCTTACTATTTTATCCATATTTCTGCATTTTCAGGTTCTGTTCTTTCAAGTGTAGGAGCCTGAATATGCAGTTTAGATAATAGTTATTTTACTTCCACTTGGCTCCCATTACAGAAAGTCTGAAGCTGATTACAAGTTGGCAGAAATAATTTTTCTAAATTAATATTTATTTATTTTGCTGATCTGAAAAAATTAATTTAGCCCATAGTTCCTGTTCCAGAGTAAATTGCTAATTGCATGTGCAGTGCTAATTTTAAAGGCAGAAATTCTGAGAGCACCCCTATTTTATCCCCTTCTGAACACTGAACTTTTCAGTTTATACTTAGGGATTTTTATTTGCATTTTAGTGTTTGTCACATTTTTTAGTTAAGGGTGACCTCAATATTTTTCTGACTTTCCTTATTCTTTAACTATATATTTCTTTTTAACATGTGCATAGCCAGATTTTGCATGCTCCTATTAGTCAG